GTTCTGTGTCTATGTTCTTCCTATTAGTTTCAATGTGGTTTCTTCCATATATCCTTAGTAATTGGACTTCTTTTGTGCTAGATGTCAGGTGGTACTTGATGGTTGTTTTGTAGTTTAGTTGTAATTTTGATGTGGTTGTGAAAGGAGGCTAGTGCAGCTTTTTCCTACTTCTCCATCTTGACTGGAAGCCACTCTTCGCATTTTAGTGTTATAAAGTGAATGTATAATTTTTGGGGGGTTTTTAATGATAGAAAAACACGTATATTTTGTAGTATGTGTATTATAATAAAGAATTTTTAATTAATACTTTTCTATATTAGGAAGTATATGTGTATATGTGTTTGTTGATATGTGTATATATATATAGTTTGTAACTACAGTAATGAAGAGGGGAGAGAAAAAGGTTATAGATAACCAAAAATTATATTAAAACAAAACTAGTCATTGCATGGTACCAAGTGGGTTCAGTTATTATTCCAGCTTTTAGGAACTCAGAACATCATAGTTTGAACCAGGTTTTTGAAGGACTAATTTATTTTTTAATCCTTCCTGGGGACATTTTTTTCCCATTGTTTTTAGAAACAGAGAGGAAAGGAGAGAGAATAACATTGATGCGAGAGAGAAGCATTGATCAGTTGCGTCCTATATGTGCCTGACTGAGGACAGTATGGTCCAGACCGGGGAGGGCATGGGGCCACATGTGCCTGTGCCTGGTACTGGGGATTGAACTTGCCACTTAGATAAATGCCCTGACTGGGAATTAAACCTGCAATCTTTTGGTTATTTTTAATAAGTAATTTTATACTTATACACACATACATGTACATATATGTAGAAAATTATTTAAGGATAGAAACAAAACAGTTCTCTCAAAAATAACAAAAAGCTTTACAAGAAGGTAATATTATGTTAAACTGTTTGGCCTTTTGTGAATGATGTATGTGTAACCATAATAATGTAAATACTGTGTATTGATTTAACTAAGGATATAAGAACATGTGGGTGTAAGAAGTCATGTTGGGGGGAATGCTGGTGGTGGGGGGTGCAGGGCAGAGGGGAATAAAGGAGAGAAAAAATGGGACAACTATAATAGAATAACCAATAAAATATACTTTTCATGTCAGAAAGCTGAATCCTTACTTATTTTATTGATATTATGAGAGGCTGTATTTATAAAGGGCAGTAGTTAAGAGTAAGGGCTCAGGAGCCAGATTGCTTGAGTTTAAATCCTTAATGACTGCGTAAACTCTGTAACCCTGGGCAAGTTAATTAACCTTTATTTCTACAGTCTTGTCATTAGTAAAAGGACATGCTAAAAGATACACTTCTTTACTAGTTTATTGTGAACAGTAAATTATATATATGTATAAAATGCACTTGAATTATATACATTAAAGTTAGCTGTTATGATAATAAATAAAAGCTTGTAGATAATTGATAGATTATAAAACTGATAATGTAAAAAATAGCAAAACACACATTTTACTTAGAAATATAGAGATAACTACCAGAAGATACAACTAAAAGAGGTAGTGATTATCTCTGGAAGTGGTATAGAGGAGGGTATCAAGGAACATTGTAAATTTTTTGGCACTATTCAATTTGACATATATAAATGTCTTAATTCGATAAAAGTTTGGAAAGTGATTTAGGTATGTGTCAAAGTCTTCTAGTGATTGTCTGGAGGGAAGAAAACAGTATGAAACATTATAAAATATTCTCAAATGCTCCATCTCAGCTGTCTTCTACTAGTTCCATTATGTATTAACTGCTCCAAATTGCTATTTCCATGCTTCCTTAGAACTCCAGCATGCTATCTGCCCTTTTTATTTTAATCCCAGCAAATTCTTACTCTCCTATTTTCTTTTCCAACTTTTTATTAGGTAGATGAATCTACTCTCAGCATCTTTAAATTTATTTTTTATATATTATTTTAATCAACACTCCAGGAACTCGGGAGCAAAAGAAGGACACAAAAAATATCCCTAAAGGGTGTGTGTATGTTTTTTGTTGCTTGGTAAATTAGTTTATTATTGTCTTTATCTGAAAAATCTTTATGGAAAATTATGGTTTGATTTATTAGCTCTCAGCAGCCCATTCCTGAGCTCCAAGAGGCTTACCTTTTTTCTGAGCTATCTGTTCTTTCTTTTGGGCAAAAGACATTTTGAGATGGTTCCACCTTTTATTATTAACTTCTTTTTTAGGCTTCTTCTCATAGACTGGATTCTCTCATATAATTCATGGGCTTTCTTTCACAGGTCCTCCATCATGTCTGAAGTTAATGTTGTTCTTTATGTACTGAGAGAATTGTTTCTTATAAGAATCTTCATCTTCTTCCATTAGGTAACGCATATAATTTGCAAACTTTTCACTCATGACATGCTTCTAATGTATTTTTGCATTGAATTCCTTGCTTTCTGAATCATACCCAGGGAATCATTTGGTACTGTGAGGTATAGACAAGTCTCCATCCACAGCTCCCTTCAGGGACCCCAAAACTTTATTTCTAGTAGTTCTGGCGAGCTATACATCCAAATAGCAGGTGCAGGCACCAGGCGGACCATCAGTACTTTCCACATTGTATTCATCTCAGTCACTTTCAGGCCTTCATAGATCCTGTCCATGCCCAACCTATCGAGAATCCTGCAGCAGGCCAGTGCACTGTGCTGGAGCATAATTTGTCAGGCCATCTTTCACACCATACTTTGGGAGTTCATGAGTGTAATCTTCACATACTATCATATCTTCTTCTATATGGGCATAAGCAAATTGACAAATGATATCTCTGTTGGTTACAACATGAACTATCATCCTGTATTTGGGTGTGCTGTACTTATCTTTATCCTGAATTACCAAGAGTTTCTGGGCATAAAAATCAATTTTTCTCTCTCATTGTATTCTAAGTTTTACTTGGTACCTCTTGAAGTAGGCCTTATTTTTGATAGCTTTAACAAACCCCATCCTACAGAAGAGAGACCCGCGACCACGGCTCAGCACAGACCTGCAGGCTTAGCACAGCTCCGCAGGCTTAGCACAGCTCCTTTGGGGAAGGGAGGATGTGCTGCATAATATGTTTTCTTTCTGTTATAAACAAATAATTTAGTTATAAATTTATTTTTAACTATTTTAGTAAATTCATGTGTAACATTACTGTTTGTGTATTAATTTTCTAGGTAAATGGTATTCCTAAAGTAAAGTAAGTAATATTTGCTATTCCTTGGAACTCTTCTGTAAGGAAGATCTGTCTTTATTCTCCCATTTATTTATTTATATCAGTCAGGACTCTATATTTATTTTATCCTTTGGGTTATAATCTAAATACTATTTTACTTATTTTGTTGCTCAAGTTGTTTCCAGTTTGGCCATTAAGAGCTCTTTAAGATTGACTTCTCTCTGTCATTGATATGCCCTATTGTTTTGTTTTTTGAACACTTCCTTGATTTCTGGGCATAAAGACTTAGGCAGTTATCTTCAAGTTTGTTGGGAAATGCCCTGTCTGGTTTCAGGAACTGTAGCCCTGCTGTCAGATGAGAGGGCCCCAAGTTTGGAGATAATCAAGGAGGCCTTGGGAAAACAGGCCACTGAGGAGATGAAACCTGTCTCCCAGGCTGGGGCGCAGCCCCTGCCCCTCTCACATCACCCCATTTGGCCCTGTGATGGTTGGTAGTTGATGACGGGTAAGATTTGTCAAGAGGAGGAACGACCTAAGACAGACATTGGATGGTATGGGCAGTGGGAGAAGGACTTTGGGGACACAGAGAAAGAGCAAAAAGGCCTGCACCCCTCAGCTTGGCTTGGACATGGCTCAGGTCCTTATTCTATCTGAAAGTCTCCTTATCTCTTGGTGGCTCTGCCCTGTCCACCTGGCTCAGGCTTGAAACAATACTATAGGCAGGTATAGCCCTAAACTGGATTGGACAGTTCCTGGGGACAATCAGGCCTATAAGTAAGTTCCTTGCAGCATGCTTTGTTCTTCCCTCAGAAGCTATGATAACCAGCTCATACTGGGAAGGAGATTTACATTATTCATAGACTCTGACCTGAAGCAGATCTCCTGTATTCCTTCAATTGTTATCTATTATCTCTATCTGTTTTCTGTAAACATAGCCCTTTGACATTGATTGATGAGCTTTGCTATATACCCTTGTGCATATGGTTCTCAATAAAAGCTTTTGGACATGGGGCTCAGGGCCTTCTCCACTAGAGAGGAGAGCCATGTGCCCTCTCCTAGCAAATGGAGAAGTGTTTGCAATGACTTGTGTTTATTCCCCCCATCCATGACAACCCTAGGACTGGCTCTGTGGGTTCAGAGCCCCGCTCCCCCCTCCTCAGCTGGCCCCGGAGAGTGACCCTCAGATCCAGGAGTGCCTGGTGCGGTGCTCCCTGTGGCACAAGTTGACATACTATTGTACAAAATATAATTATTATTAGAATAAAAAGTTTGTCAAAAGAAATGATTCAATTTAGTTAAACTCAAATTTACATTTTCATTATTTTAAGTATGATTTAATGTAATCTTGTTTTGATCAGTAAACTTCTCAACATACCCAAGTGGAATAAAAATGTACACTTGTAGTATATTTACTACTGATATATCAGAGAAACTGTGTTTTTTATTTTAGATTTTATTTATTTTTAGAGAGAGGAGGAGGGAGGGAGAAAGGGAGAGAAGCATTGATGTGAGAGAGAAACATCGATCTGTTGCCTCTTGTATGCGCCCTGACTGGGACCAAGCCCACAACCCAGACATGTGCCCTGACCTAGAACTGAACCAGCAGCCTTTAATTTTGTGGAATGACACCCAACCAAGTGAGCCACACTGGTCAGGGTGAACCTATAGTTTTGTTTGTTTTTTTAATGAAACTGGTCTGTAGTAAAAGATTTGTGAAGATTCTGTATAATGTTATGAATCAAATGTTTATCATAAAAGTTTTTAAAGTGTGTTTTTCTAAGTAAAACTCTACATTTTAATTTATTTTTTTAATTAAAGGAAAGCAAAGTGTTCCTCTACTAGCAGCATGCCTTCCTTAGGACAAATGTAAAGTCAAGATTGGTCGTTGCTCCAGTGAAGAAAGGTAATTTAAAATAATTCTTTCCACACAGATCTTTAAAAATGACTTTTTAAAATTTATCCTTTAGACCTAGAACATGATACATTGGAAGTGGTCAAAAAATTTAAGTTCTGCCTTTTCTCTCAAAATAATACAAGACAAAGCAAAACATAAAAACATCTCCACAAGCAGACCAAAGTGGAATAAACAAAGAAATGATGGCATTTTCTGAATTTCATACAATACATATAGAGCCTAAAAGGCATGCATATTTACTATTTATTTCATTTTTGCTCAAGATGGTAGGGTATTTGCATTAGTTTTAGTTTAGCTTTTTCTTTTTCCATGTTATATATGATATACATTTATATAAGTAAACACATATCTATTTCTAGCCCATTAAAGCTTTCTTAAGATACAGTAACTAACTAGTACTATATTTAATATTCTAGTTATAGGCACATCATGTCTATTTCTTAAGGATGAAACACCTTCTTCTGTTATACTTAAAATATTCTTCTTGATGAGACCCAGTATTTTTATGGTTGATATGGCTATTATACAGCAGTCATTAGTTTATATCTTCATTGACAGATCTATAATGTTCTTGGATCTTATTTCACATTTTATTACATAACCTATTATCATAAATATATATGAATATATATTATATATTTAAATTATTCTACAAGCCTTTTTATACCTTTGAGTCATCTTTATTGCTTTTCTGTCCATTCATAAAGACTTCACAAATTACTTTGATCTTGTCTGCATAGTTAAATATATTTTTAGATGCAAAATTTAATTTCTCTTGAAAATATGGAAATTTCTTTTTTCAGTTCACTTATAAAAATGCAAAGTAAGACTTGTACTAGCAGGAAGCCTAGGGAATTGACCGAGCTTTTTCCTTTCTGTATTATTTTAGCTTCCTTTATAATTTAGCTTCATGTTATGAAAATAACATCATGTTAGAACTTTATATAATCATTTTTTCTGTTCTCTAAAACTGTTGAATAGGCACAATTTTCTCATACAGAATTTTCTGCTGTAGATTTTGTATTTCCTTGTCTGTAGAGCAGACATTTTGCTCTGGACTTGGTGCTGCTATTGGGAATTTTGTCATTTTCTTGAGCATGGAAACGAGATTCAGAGCCTATCACACGGGAGGAGCCACATCATTGACACTGACATTCCTTTCGCACAGAGGCTCTTCGTAATGATAGTTTCTCTGTAATTCTTGAATGGGTGTGATATATAGGTGGAACAGGGTTCCACGTAATCTGCCAACTTGTTTGTAGGTTATTTTATTGCAAAAGTAAGCATCTGTGGTGGTAAAATTGGAAACTTTCTGGCTATCTAACTCCTCTGTGAATGTGCCTGAGGATGAGAAGTTTGACACTTTTACAAATAGCTCATCCCACTTTGACCCCTCTATATTAACTAGCTTCATTTTTTCCATGGTGCCTAATATAGTGCTTATTCAGTGCTATTACTCACTGATGGATTTTTAACTAAAGCTCATTAAAATTTTTGACTTAATATTAATCTGGTAATTATTAATTTAAGCTTCTCTTAGAGTATGTGATATAACCATAGGGAAATGATTGAGACATATTACTTTCGGTATCCTTTGTAAATGGAATTTAAAAATACTTTTAATTTCTTGCTTCTGTTATGTAAGAAAACAATTGGGTTTTACATATCAATCCTGTATCCAGTGACTGTCTAAATTGATTTTTTAGTTGAGAAATTGTTTTGTTGATTCCCTAGGTTGTTCTGTGTAAGTAGCATTATCAAATGAAAATTGGATCATTTATACTTCTTCCTTTCACATTTTTATGCCTTTTTTTCTTTCCTTAGTACAGTAATTAGGACCTTCAGTCCAATGTGTATTAGGAGTGGTGAAGGGCAACATCTTTACCTTGATATCAAAGAACAATTGTTAAATATGATATTGGCAGTACATTTTTGTAGATGCCTTTTACTGGTTTGAAGAAGATGCTGTTTATTGTCTTTAATTGGCTCTTTAACTTGTCTCCTTTCCCCTCAAGCTTATTTTGTTTACGGTAGACAGAGGCTATCTTATTTATTTAGGACTCTTCTCCAGTCTGAAAATGTTTTGATATGTATTTTTTATCTGTGTTTTTGAATGAAGTTCAACAAGAATAATAAAACTTTTGTTAACCTCTAAGGTAATAAAGATTTCTTTTAAAAAATCCTTTAGAGGTCCTGAACTTTCAATGGTTTATAAGAAGTCTGGTACATTAGTATTATATCTAGGGGCTAACGCTGCTCATTTGGAGGAATTTATATTAGAGTCTCCTATTTATCAGTCCACAGTCATCATCATCGATGGTACATGGAGCCAGGATAAGGACATTTTCTATAAGAATTCCTTGTTCCGACTGACCAAACAGGTAAACTAGTAGTATTTCTTAAAACTAATAAATTAATTTTTAACTTTTTTTTTGTTGACACTATTACAGATGTCCCCATCCTATCCCCCACCCTTTGCTCACCTCCATCCAGCCCCTGCTCCCCCCTTGCTTCTGCCCATCATCACATTGCTGTCTGTGTCTATGGACTACGCATGTGTGTGCTTTGGCTACACTCTTCATCTTTTTTCATCCAGTCCCCCCAATTCCTTCCCCCACTGTCAGTTGTCAGTCTGTTCCATGTTTCCATGCCTTATTTCTATTTTGTTCATCAGTTTATTTTGTTAATTAAATTTCACATATAGTGAGATCATATGGTATTTGACTTTCTCTGACTGGCTTATTTCACTTAACATAATACTCTCCAGGTCCATCCATGCTTTTGCAAAAAGTAAGAGGTCCTTCTTTTTATGGCCATGTAGTATTCCATTATGTAAATGTACCACAGCTTTTTTTTTTTTAATCCATTCATTTACTGATGGGCAGTTGGCCTGTGTCCATATAAATATTTTAATAATTCTCTCTTATAGTCTTGTTCATCAAGTAAAAAATAAACGTGTAAGATGAAAATTTAGGTCAGTTCTTGTCTAAGTTTCCCAAATATATAAATAACATAGTTTAAGTTAACTAGGCTTTATTTCTAAATGTAATTAGTCATTTTTTTTACCACCCCCTCAATATAGATACACACACATATGCCTGCTTTTTGCATAAGTTTACCTAAACTGTTACTTAATTTAGTTGATCCATTCAATTTCTGTAGTAGTACAAAAATTTTCCTCCATTTGCATGAGAGAAAATAGCAGAAAGAAAACAGAAATAAGAATTAAAATCCAAATATTGTTTTCTTTACAGAAAAATATATAGTTTTTTTCCCCAATATGTAACCATATGTTAACCTCATACTTACATAATTTGGGAATGAAAGAATTGTAATGCAAACCCATTACTTGGCCTCTTTTTAATCTTCATTTCTAATACATCCAGACCATTTGGCAGTGCATTTCTTCCCTTAGAGGAATTTTACACAGGAGACTCTTGACATTTGCTAGGAACAAATCCAAGGTGAATATGGAAATGTTTGTAGAGGCTCCTGGCTTTCTTCATAAACTTGTTTTCAGTGAGTATTTGCATTTCCTTATTCTACTGTCTTTTAAACTTCCACTTAAGGCTCAATTTCTTACTTGAAAAGCAGAACACTTCTGGGAACACTCACTGGCTAAGACATTTCCCTGAAAACTTTTTCTTGTGTCTATGTAGAGCTATGACAGACTGGTTTATGTTATGTATATAATATATGGAAAATTCAAATTTATCATTCTTTTATTTTTTTAAATGAGCTATAATTGAAATATAACACTATAATTGAAACATAATATATATAATATATGGAAAATTCAAATTTATCATCTTTTATTTTTTTAATTGAGCTATAAGTGAAATATAACACTATATAATTGAAATTGAGGTATATAGCATAATGATTTGATATTTGTATATATTGCTAAATAATCTCTACAATAAGTCTAGCTAACATCCATCACCACACATAGTTATCATTTTTTCTTGTGATGAAAACTTCTAAGATCTACTCCATTAACAACTTTGAAATATATAATACTGTATTATTAACTGTAGTCACTATTCTTAGATCTCCAGGACTTATTTGTTTTAAAACTGGAAGTTTGTCCCTTTAACCCCTTTTCACCCATTTTGCCTACTCCCTACCCCCAACCTCTTTTAACCACCAATCTAATCTATGTATCAATGAGCTTGTTTTTTATTTTAGTTTGGTTTTAGATTTCAAATATAAGTGATATCATATTGTATTTGTTTTTCTTTGATTTATTTCACTTAGCATAATGCCCTCAAGGTTACTCTCATGTTGTTAAAAATAACAAAATCTCCCTCTTCTTTATTCATTCATCTGTGGACACTTAGGTTGTTTCAATATCTTGCTATTTTAAATAATGCTGCAGTGAACACGGGAGAGGGAGTGTAGATATCTTTTTGAGTCCATTTTTTCACTTTCTCCAAATTAGCCTTTTAATTTTATCTAAAATTGTAGTTTTGTTTACTTCTATTACCAGCATTGGCAATTGCATATTTTTAAAAAATTTTATGGAATCTATTGGGGTGACATTGGTTAATAAAATTATGTAGATTTCAGGTATACAATCCTATAGGAAATTGGTGTACTTTTAAATGCCTTTTTCCTGTGAGAAGGATTTTTTTTTAACATTTAGAATATGTAAAAGATTCTGGAGAACTAGAACTAGGGAACCATTGAGCCTCACTGAGACATGGATTCTGAATAGCTTGTTTTTACTATTTGTTAAGTGATTTCTGTACTGTACCTTCAAATAAATATGCTTTAAATTAGTACCACTGCAAAATAATTATTTCATGTTCCAAAACTTCAATGTCCTTAGGGCAGAGTCAGAACAGTTGAATATAAAATATGGAATGCCAGAGTTTTACTGTATCAGTGATTAACTCTTTGGACCTTTGTTTCAGAGTTCATCCATGTTGTAGCATATATCAGAAATTCATTTTTTTATGGTTAATATACCATTATATGTATATACCATATTTTATCATTTATCCATTGATGGACACTTGGTTTGTTTCTGCTTTTTGGCTATTGTGAATAGTACTTTTATAAATCTGTGTACAAGTTGCTGTGTAATTCCTGTTTTCAGTACTTTTTGGTATATACCTAGGATTAGAATTGTTGGGTCATATCGTAACTCTATATTTAACTTTCTTGAGGAACTGCCAAACTATTTTTCAAAGTGGCTACACTGTTTTATATTTACATTTCCTCTAGCAATATAGAATGATCCGATTTCTCCCTATCCTGGTCAACATTAGTTATGGTCTTTTTTTGTTTTTAGTTATGGACATCCTGGTGGGTATGAAGTGATATTTCATTGTGTGTGTGTTTGTTTTTAATTCTTAAGGACATGCTTATTTATTTTATAGAGAGAGGAGGGGAGGGAGGAAGAGAGGGAAACATCGATGTGAGAGAGAAACATTCATCAGTTGCCTTTTGTACATGCCCTGAATGGGGACTGAACCTGCAACCTAGGCATGTGCTCTGACTGAGAATTGAACCTGTGACCTGGTTTGCAAGATAATGTCCGACCAACTGAGCCACACTGGCCAGGGCTCATTGTGGTTTTGATTTGTGTTTCCCTAGTGACTCATGATGTTGACTGTCTTTTTATGTATGTAGTCATTTGTATATCTTCTTTGGAGAAATAGCTTTTAGATCCTTTGCTGATTTTTAAATTTAGTTATTTTTCTTTTTATTGTTGAGATGAAAGTGATCTATAGAATAGCCCCTAATTAGATATATGACTTACAATTATTTTCTCCCATTCTGTGTGTTTTCATTTTACTTTCTTGACTATGTTTCTTGAAGTACTTTTAATTTTGATGAAGTTCAATTTATCTGTTCTTTCTTTGTTTCTTGACTATTAGATGTTCTAATACACAGAGAAAAAGAAGTGAGGAAAAAAATACTGGAGGTCTTGAGTACAAAATAAAGTTCAGATTTGGGAGTAGTGCTTAAGATTTCCTGGATACAGAATGCTATAAATTTTCAGAAGTCAAAACCCTGTTACTCTGTTCTCTAGTAATTTAATTTAATTTGATTTACTTTTCCAAACATTCTCATAGAGGTTATTATGTTAGTCATTTTTCTAAATACAAATTTTAAATCATTTAATTGTCATAACAAATTTCATAAGCGAGGTATTTTTATGATTTCCATTTTGTAGAAGCAGAAACAAAAGTACAGAAATGTTAAGTATAATTTGCCCAAGGTCACATACCTTGTAAGTGGTGGAATTAGTAAAATTTCTATATCAAATATGATGTTGCTATTAGGAGGTAAGGCTACTCCCTAATTTTAGTCACAGAGAAGGACAGAGCAGATGTTTAATGGAAGCATGATGAGAATGGATTAGGGCTGGCTTTGAAAATTCTGCTGCAATTTGGGTAAGCATCTAATGCCATACCAGTATGTTTTTCAAGTGTTTTATCTCTGGGAATTCATTACATAGACTTAATTTTTGTTATTTTAATTATACTTGCCCACATAACTTTTACATATATTTTATATACCTTTCCTATGAGATATTAGAAATAGTTGCACACACCCATATCTAAGTGGTAATTATCTACTAACATGGTTTTATGCATGGAAACTTTTGTTATGGCCTACACATTCTTTTTATCTTTTGGACAACTCATTAAATCCATGAAAAGATATAATTTCATGAACCAAATATTTTACATTAGAAAGAGGAGAGGAAAATTGATGATTTTTGGTATGTATGGTAATATGAGGCCTATCAACTGTTCAAACAAATAAATGTTTAAAGTAAAAGCTAATAATTACCTTTGCCTGCCTTCCAGGTAACCCCATAATAACACTTTCCACCTCAAACCTTCAGGTATTTAGAATTATAAGTATGTTGTGTTTGCTTCCAAATTTTTTCTGTGCTCGTATCCAATACAATAAACATATACATATTCACTTCTAATGCATGTTTCCCATCCAAACATCCTTTAACCAGTGAGCCACTGCTCTGTGCCCAAAAAGCCCTGAATGTGCAGAAACATGAAAATATTCACAGAACATTGTTTTCAATACTGGTGATTTAAATTCTGAGCTCTAGGTTTCTTTTGTTAAAAATATATATATTTTTAAAATATTTTAATTATAGTGGGCAATCAATATAATATTAATTTCAGGTGTATAGCATAGCAGCTAGACATTTATATAACTTACAAAGTGATTCCATAAGTCTAGTACCCACCTGACATCATACATAATTATTGACTGAGCTCTAAATTTCATATTTAAGGCTCATAATAACAGAATTCCCAGAAGATGATGATAGGCAGCTAATCTGTGGTATTTCGTTATAGCAGCCTGAGCTAGGACAAATCTCTCTGAATGAACTTGGAGA